ATCTACTGCATCTTGGTCAGCTCCAGCATCAAGCAGCAATCGGACAACTTCCAAGTGGCCCTTCTTGGCTGCAATGAGCAAAGCCGGCCAACCAGACCAACCATCTGTATCTGCTGCATCTTTGTCAGCTCCAGCCTCGAGCAACAATCGCACAACTTCCAAGTGGCCTTCTTGGGCTGCTATGTGCAAAGCCGTCCGGTCATCTGTATTTGGTGCATCTTTGTCAACTCCAGCCTCGAGCAACAATCGCACAACTTCCAAGTGGCCTTCCCGGGCAGCAAGAACAAAACCTTCCTCGTTCGGGTCCAATGGCTGTTGAAGCAGCCTTTCAATGTCAGTCACATTATTCTGCTGGCAGCTCCTGAACAGTTCTTCTTGCATGGTCTCATCAGGGGCACACAAGGGCAGAATTACCAGCTGGACACTTGATAGTGCTCGTAAAGGCAAGTCATCCTCCAATTCGCCAAGCTCGTCACTGAAGAGTCTTTGCTGAAACCTTGAACACCCAACCTTAGCTGAAAGAAGTCGCTTAAGGTCTCGAACCAATTGCCCACTTTCCACCATGTAACGCAGCTCTTCCTCATCAACCTGAGCAATCGTGTTGCCAGACACAGCGGTAACCTGCATTTTTGAGGTTTCATAAGCCAGAAGCGTTGGCTTGAGCCGTGGTCAAACTCCAGGTAGAAAAACCATGCCAAACATTGAGAACAAGCAATGCTTTCTAAACGTGAACCAAACACACACAATGCATGAAATATTGGCCTTCCTGGCCTTCCTGCATCGAAGTCTACCATCACTCACCAACCCCTTGATAGCACTTGCTGACTGACAGTTTTGACCACCTATGGTGGCTTGTATGACCACCGGCGAGGCAGCAACATTAAAACCCTCTCGGCAAAGAAAGCTCTCTATACCAGGACCCTCCACGGGGTGCCCAATGGAAGCCTATAGGTAGTGTGGGGTAGTCCATTGGACACCCCTTGGAGGGTCCTGGTATAGAAGAAATTGATCAAGCCTGGAGGATCATCCCCCAACAGGTCTGTCTCGTGTGTTAGTTCCATCCTGTCGACGGGTGTAGTGTTCTGGAGATCAAACACCCAGGATACTCCTGGTAAGCTCTCTGACATGGTGTGTGTGCCATGTGCCCAAGAAGATTGAAAAGCGGTCCACTGCTCATCATGTAATCAAGGCTCGACTCCCTCCCCCCAAAAAAGTGATATTCCTTGGTTAGCTTTAAGTAAGTTACCTTGCGTACCTTGCTTGGAAAGTGACGCTTTCTCAGCTCCAAAATCCTTCCCTTCGCCCGGTTCCAGTCACGTCCGAAAAAGGGCGAGCGGAAGAATCCGGAGCGGGCGCGCTGGAACAGCAGCAGCGACCCAAAGTCCGGTCGCCTAGGATCGTGCTCCAGCTTCGTGGCGAACAAGGTCTTCAACGCCTGAGCCGCGGCGCGCCGCGGTAGATGGTTCCATTTCGGTAGAGCACAGGTGGACCGTAGATAGGACCCGTAACCTGAGGTACCGAACTGGGATAGTCGAACAAATGTGTTCTGAAAAAAAACACTCAGACTGGCATAGGAGGAAACATGAATTTGAAGAGCGTAAAAAAGTACACTTCCTACAACAAATATGGAAGTGGACAACACCCTGTTTGTAGAGGAGAATGGTCGAGAAGGGTCTTTCCGCGGGCTATTGCCCACTTCCATGATTCTTTTTCTGGGAGGGTGCAGTGATGCTTCTTGATCTACAGTCCCTAGAAGTCGAATCACCATTGTTGTAATAGCCTGAATCCCGAACAACCATTGTTTCACTAAGGGTTTTACACTAAAACCAGATCAACCATTCTTAAAGTGGTGGACTTGACTGACTTGACTTCCAGGGCAGTGTTCAGTCTTTTGGAGACCACTCATTTTCGGTGGAACCACTTGGTTCATCATTTCGGGGTCCAAACCAACCGAACCCCACGAACGTGACGTTTTCACCGAACGTTCCGCACATTCAAGTGCGCCCCTCGTACCATCACCTCGCCGGATCACGAGGTAAGACGACCTGCCTCGAAACGCAGCAACATCAGGAACCAGAGGTTGGCAGAGTCCCTAGGGCTCCAACTATATCCTCAGGTTTGGTGGACCTCCTAAACCCACCCCTGGCCCACCGAACCGAAACGGAGGTGGTCGGAGCCCAAACGGGAGTATTGTATACCAACAACAGAGGCCAATGTTCACAACACCCCGGTTTTGGGGTTTGAGTTCGTCCAGTTTTGGGAATATAACTTGTTGAGGTTTTTCTGTTGGCAACAGAGGTTGAAGAACCCTATATAGGCATGGCTATCCTATGGGTCCCCCAGGTGACGGGTCCTGGTTCAGGTTATCGGCTACCTCTCTTGGTACCCCCATATGTCCACTCGCAATGGTGCGGGGTTCGTGACGGCGAATCCATGGTCTGCATATCAAGTCACCTCCGCTTTGGCGATCTTATGTAGATCTCTCAGCTTCTCCTCTGCCATCGGCAGGTGTTGCATGGCACGTTCGTTCATCCGCTGGCGATAGACCTCAACAGGCCACGGATGCTGTTCGTGGGGGTCGAGTGAACGTTCCAGACCACCAGCGCCGGGGAAGACATGGGGTCCATTTCAGGACCCACCTCACCACGACGAGACATCTGGACTAGCACTGCTAGGGCGTTGCAATCACCATGCAGGACGACTGCCCCCCCATTCACCATCGCCATGCACGTGCGATCCACCTCACCACCCGGTTAGTGGATGGTGCTGGAACTGTCTGTGACCTCTATACCTCTTAGTACGCCTCCCTTGGGTGCTACTTGGTTCAGGGCATCCATTAGTTGGCCTTGCCCACAATAAATAATTAATAATAAGAGATAGACAATTGCAAGGCCATTAATCTATTATTTATATTGGTCCCGCCTATTTTTTTAAATCTTACCTTTATTATTTATGGCGGGACCAACCTATAAAATAATATATCTTTTACATGAATGAATCCTCCATTAAAATATAAGACCTACAGCATAAATAATTATATGGAGGATTCATGAATTATTTCTCTTCAATCATCTCTTATTATAATTCCCTGATCTTGGGAGCAACATTATTAATAATGATAGCATATTTTCTTTTATATGTTGCTCCCACAATTATAATATATTATCGGGTTGCCGGTTAACGACTTAAGAGATAAGAAGAGGAAAGGAAAATATTTGGCAACCCAATTAATAAACCTGTGCTAGCGGATGACCTCATCCAAATTGTTAAATGAAATTGGATGATCCACTATTCGATCCATTGACCGCCCCTGTTCAGTGGCCTTTCAACGCATCTAAACACCTGGGACCATGGGGTGTTGCTCAAACCATCCATGGGACTATTCCAGTCCGATAGTCTGTGTATTGGGCCACCTCTTCGCGCCATCTCTTCCAACCGAGCCCCGCGCCACCGCCGAGCCCTGCCACAAGAAAACAACCAAAAAGAGATCCAACAAACCCCCTCGTCAAACATTAGCATGGTGAGCCACTGAGCCACTCCTTGCTGGTGTACGGGACATATATATATATACAAAATCTGATCAGGCTCTTATCTCTAACCAAACTGGATGAACATGGATGAACATTCGGAGAGGTCCAACCCCTCCTCCTTCTCTCTTCCAGAACCCAAATCACCGTTCCACCGCGCCCCTTCACCGCGCGACCCTCCAGCCGCGCCTGCACGGCGTCGCGCAGCGCCAGGCGGAATTGGTGCTGCACGACCGATGCCCAGGCGGCGTGGATCGTGGGCACCGCGCTACCTGGGCGTGGCAAAGCGGCGTGGGAGGCGTCGAAGTGGTAGGTGGTTGTGCCCCAGGGCGGGGCGGAGGAGGTAGTGCCCCAAGGCGGGAGAGGGGGCATGACACATATGTACAGTATACACCTATGTTGTCACCTGAAACCACGGTAGATATAGACCGTAAGTAGCATGCCATGCCATACATGAAGCGTCTGCGTCAGTGCGTTGGAGATATGTCCAGCATGTTCCGGCCAACATGACCAGTTGGCGAACCGCCCAGACCGGGCGACATGTGGAACACCGACCCGGCGGACGCTTGGAACATGTGCATGTCCACCTCCAGTCCGGTGTCAACCAGCTCTCCTACCAGGACCCGCAGGAGTTGGGTGGTTAATGGACACCCTGAATCACAGCTAAGAGGCTATGATGGGCTATGAATAAACACCCCGACAGGATGGTCCTGGTAGGGCCTGGTAGGATCCTAGCGTTCTTTCCTTCTTTCGATTGAAGACGATTGGGGAACCCGCCACCCGCCAGCCCAACGACAAAGTGGCAATCCAGCTAAGACTAGCCGACTAGCCGATGTGTCCATGGCCGCTTGGCAAACGAACCTCGTACGTCACCGGTGCAAATTTTTCTCTAAAGATCCCATTGGCTCCAAGTGCCTTCGTTTCGAAGGTGTTTGAGGTGGGTTTGGAGGAGGCTCCAAGTGCCTTCTAACGCTTCTAAGAAGGTGTTTGAGGTGGGTGCCAGGAGGGTCCAGTCATACCTTCTGAGGAGGTACTTGAAGCCCTTGGGGAAGACCAAATCACACCCCAAAGAAACGCGCGAAAGGGGTGGGGCCCCAGTCGGTGCAGAATGGGCGGTGACACGTTCGCTCAGAGTGGGGCCCCAATACTTGGATTTGCTTCAAAGGAACTTAGAAAAATAGTCCCCCAAAGGGGATTTAAATGGATTTCACATAACTTATGCATAGTATAGGGAACATGAAGACATCACCTGAATCAGCAAAACCCGGTGTTCCATTCGACCACGGCGGCCATTGATGGCTTTGCAGTACTCCGAGGCCAAGTCCACGAACATCCGACCCGTGACCACCTCGTGATCGGCGTGGAGCGCGGGACGAGTGGACGCGCAGCTTGGGGCGGTGCATGTGGGGCCGCGTGGGGGGGCCCAACAATCGATTGGTAGATCGAAATAGTTATATACATATCCCCAGGGCTCCAACCACCTCCTGAGAAGATGGTTGGGGTGGGTTTGGGGGGTCTAACCACCTTCTGAGGATATGGTTGGAGCCCTAGGGTATATACACGTTCAAACTTAAACATCTTAACTTAACATAATCTAATACTTTAAAACCACCCTCATGTTATCATGTCGGATATGTATCAAAGATCTGCACATTCACTCTTAAAAACGTCTAGATCACCACCCTCATGTATACTTGTAGGAGATGTGTGCAAATATGTCACACCGGGGTTCTCTGGGGTATTGCACTTGGATCTCCTCTTCTTGGACGGGAAGCTCCTTTTACAGAGCACCTGGAGGACGCCGGAGTCGTTTTCTCCGTGGTGCAGTGCCCCGTCCCGCCGTCCCCTTGAGCTCTCCCGCGTTCCCATCGATCTTCTTCGGCTTCAAGTAGGTGTAGACCTGCTCGGCTGGGGCTCAGCTGACAGCGGTGCCGTGGTGTCGCCATCGGCCCAGCCGCATCTTCGGGTCTTCGGCGTTCGCCGGAGGCGTCGTTGCGAGGCAAAGCTCCAGCAGCCGCAGACTTCGAAGGGTCTCATAGATTTCCAGACGTGCCATGGATGGTTATATAATAGTTATCCCCATTTCTAGGACCTGATGTGTCTGACTATACTCCTTACATGGATGGTGCTGGAGTGTTGGATAAGTCATTTGCTTTTTGGGGGGGGGCGCTGTCACATCGCCTGTCACGGACCGCGCCTTCTTGACAAAGGCTTCGACCTGGGTTCGGAATTGGGGCCTCAGCTTCTCGTAAGGCACCTGCAGCACGAGACGTGTTGATGCAAAGGCCACCGGGGTTGATGCAGATCAGCAGGCTGTAGCGGATTGAATGCTAGATTCCGCTACCAGGAGTCACAATGAGCTCGGGGTGGCATGGCGTGGCTCGTCCCCAAGTGAGTGGATGTGACAGGTTCGCGCCCCGACTTCCTCCATGGATCGCACCCTGTCCGCCATGTGACTGCTAGCTAGATGCTTTTTCGTCATGCCTCACTCTTCAACCAGTATATAGTACTGCAAGGTGAACAGAACCGAGAGGAAGAGAGATAACAAAAAAGTGCAAAGAAGGACTACACAATGCACCGAAACCATGCAAATTGAGTGGGATGCTGCAAGAGGATGGTCTTCATGATTATCCCAGCTTCAAGTACCTCCTCAGAAGGTATGACTGGACCCTCCTGGCACCCACCTCAAACACCTTCGAAACGAAGGCACTTGGAGGCCTAGGGTATATCATTCTTTGAGGTCCTTCACGGCTGGAGGTCGCCCTCCCAGCATGCTATGCTGCATGCGGATCTCTGGCTGAGGCTGAGAGCAGGGAGAACTGGACCTCCCAACCCCCAACGTGAAAACATGGGAAAACACCGGGAAAACCCCGTGCAAGCTGGACATGGGACAAACCTCTTGTTCAATGCCAAGCTGGACATGGATTAAAACCTGCTTCAATGGCAACTGGACCGGAGTTCGGGGGAGCAAAAGAGGAACAACCCAAAAAAACACCTCCCAAGTGTTCACTTCATCGTGCCGCTCCGCCGCTCCGCCTGTTGAATGTTCCGCAGGTCCGCTTCCTCCGCCACGGGCCGCACGATGGTCACGCAGTCCCGCTCACGGAAGAGATCCTCGCACGAACGCTCGAGGATCGGTCCGAAGCGGGAGGGGTTGGACGGTGGACCAAATGCTCGTCTGGTCAAAGGTGTCTAGGAATTCGAAGGGAAAAAAAACCAAACACGACCTGCCTGGGACTGCCAGAGCTGCCGAGAAACAGCTGTGGTTCTTTATGTTTGTCCCAAACAGGTCGTGTCTAGGAAATCAGGAATCGAAGCGCCTGGAAACCGTCGGAAGAGCCTGTTGAAAGTGCCTGGGAATCCCAGAGAAGAAGCCAACGCTTGAGAATGAAAAAAGTAAATTGTGCATCTGAGTCGATTCATAGACCAAACAACCCACCAAAAAAATTATTTTACTTCGAAATTCCCCACCCTCAAAGAATTGGTCTTCACAAGAGAAAAGCGGTTCGGCGCGAAAAGGATTCTTTATTGAAAACAAAGCCACACATCGAATACTTACTTGTGAGGTTTCTGAACTTCGATATTTTAATGCCTGGCAACCCCACATCCCTGCCAAGTCAACTTGTGGTGGATATGCTGTGGAACTGGTACTTGGGAGCACTCTGGTGAATGTGCTGGTGTAAAGGCTACGCTGGGCTACTCGGGGCCACTCTGGTGGATGTGCTGTGTTCTTTGGGTTGCTCTGAGCTACGCTGGGACCACTCTGGTGGATGTGCAGAAGTAGCGAGTCTACTGAAGTCCAAAGTTCTTAAAATCTAACAGCCCCACAGTCCTACGGGTGGGGAAAAAACTGCTTTGATAAGTACATTACAAGTCTACAACTATCCTGCGATCTCTTTGGTAAATGTGCTGTGGAGAAGCTAAGTTGCGCTACTAAAAACTGTGGTTGCTGTGGACAAGCTAAGTTGAACTACTTAGAAATTAGTTTGTGAATGTGCTGTGGAAGAGCTAGGCAGCTAGGTTTAGCTACTCAGGGATCAGTTTGGTGAATGTGGTGTGAATACTCAGAGGTCATTTTGGTGAATGTGCTGTGGAAGTGCTACGTTGAATTACTCAGGGATTACTTTGGTGAACAGGGATCAGTTTGGCGAGCGTGCTGTGAAAGAGCCACTTTGGGCTACTCAGAGATCACCTTGGTGAACGTGCTGTGGAAAAGCTAGCTTGAATACTCAGGGATCACTCTGGGGAACGTGCTGTGGAAGAGCTACTTTGGGCTACTCCGGGATCTCTTTGGTGAACATGCTGTGAAAAAGCTACTTTGGGCTTCTCAAGGATTACTTTGATCAACGTGCTGTGGAAGATCTAAGTTGGGCTACTCAGGGATTACTTTGGCGAGTGTGGTGTGGAAGAGCTAAGTTGGGCTAGTCAGGGATTCCTTTGGTGAACGTGCTGTGGAAAAGCTACTTTGGGCTTCTCAAGGATTACTTTGGTCAACGTGCTGTGGAAGATCTAAGTTGGGCTACTCGCGGACTACTTTGGTGAGTGTGCTGTGGAAGGACTAAGCTACTCAGGGACCACTTTGGTGAGTGTGCTGTGGAAAAGCTAAGTTGGGCTACTCAGAGACCACTTCGTGAGTGTGCTATAGAAGAGCTAAGTTGGGCTACCGGGCGTGCTGAAGTCCAAAGTTCTAAAAATCTAACAACCCCACAGTCCTACGGGTGGGGAAAAATCTGAGCATCCACACACAAGTTGTGAAGTGCTCTGCCAGCAGCTTCGCCCGCGCCAACGGCAAGAGTCACTTTGGCCAGCGTGCTGTGGAAGAGCGAAGTTGCGCTACTCAGGGATCACTTTGGCCAGTGTGCTGTGGAAGAGCTACGTTGCGCTACTCTGGGATCACTTTGGCCAGTGTGCTGTGGAAGAGCTAAGTTTCGCTACCCAGGGATCACTTTGGCCAGTGTGCTGTGGAAGAGCTAAGTTGCGCTACTCAGGGATCACTTTGGCCAGTGTGCTGTGGAAGAGCTAAGTTGGGCTACCGGGCGTACTGAAGTCCAAAGTTCTAAAAATTAAAAATCTAACAACCCCACAGTCCTACGGGTGGGGAAAAAGACAACACACACAAAAAAATAAATAAATAGAAAAACAACCACCAGCACCTTCCTTACGGGGCCACCTGTCTGGTTTCGCCCCAGCCCACCACTCTTCGGGACCTCTAGACAGGACATGACAGGACACCCCCGATTCAGAAAGGTTCCATTGGAGGTTTTGATGTACCAAAACCATCCCACCTCGGGGGGTGTTCGCATCCGGTTCGCATCCCATGCAGATGACCTCTCGGACCGTCATCACTCCTTGATGACCTCTCGGAGCTGATTCTTCTCCTGCCGGATGAAGCGGACCGATGACTGCAGCACAGGTGTTGTGAAAAGCCCTCTGAGGGAAAAAGGCACATCGTTTTAGAGAAGGGCCACCCAAGGCAACCCGTTTCATAGTGGAAATGGTTTTGGGGGGGCCAGTTTTATGGCGTGAAATGATCCATGTTACAAAGCATGATGTTCCTCCCAAGATGGTCTGCTATCAACATCGATCAAAGATGTTTGCAGGTTTATCTTTTGACATTATATTGTGGAGACGGGTGCCTTTTGGAAGTTCAACAGAATGCGTTTGAAGGGAAGAATCTCTTTCAGGGAGCTAGTTCAGCGCAGTTCCCCCCCCAAAAAGGCCTGCTCCAATGTCCAAGGGAGATCAAAGCGATACCTAATGTGGACTGTGGATGATCTAAACCCTGCAAAACTGGAGACAACCGAGACGAAGAGAGTCAATCAACGGCAGTTCATGTTCATCCTAGACTGTCCATGATCAGTTGAAGTGACCCCGCTCTAATCCTTCAAGACATCTTCTTTGGGGTGCCCCTTCTGGCCGAGGGCGTGAACTCCCCAGCAAGTTGCGGACTTATTGGACCGTTTTGCTGGAGGTGCCAACGCAGGATCTTCAGATGTACAGGGTTGTCAACCCAGAGTGGTGACTCCTTACTTGCCATCTTAGAAAATTAAGTTATATAACCGAACGAACTGCACCTCTTCTTGGTTCGTGGGGCGTCCCCAATCCCTCAAGGAACATGAAAGCGGAATTGAAAAACGTCTTCATATGGGGCAGTTGTGGTCCTCAAGAGTCTACAGTCTACACTACCCCACTCCCGGCTTCATACCGCTCCTCGTGTCCCGGGTTGGGGCGCAAAGCCCTTTCCAAGTACTCCTTCTCACTGATGCTTTGGCCCTTCTCATCCGCCAGGGACAGGTGGAAGTCCCGCAGGACCCAGAGGAAGATGGGAAAATACAGCGACAAGTCCTTCCGGACGGCTTCCGGGATTGGTTCCGGAGGTCGGAACCATCAAGCGAAACGCTCAGGCGTTTTCCCATCTCAAGATCAATCGAAATAGATGTCTTTAAAGAAACCAATCAGAATTTCTCAACGCCGAGGCGTCGAGTGGACCGAGGGACCGATGCACTGGATGAAGACGCTTCGCTACTACGTGTGTTGGAAGTGGATCCACCCATACTCAGGGGATTGGCCCCCAAAAGCCTGACTGGTGGGTGGCTTCAACTCATGAACGAAAACTATGAGTCAGTTGGCTCAGTGGGCTCAAAAATTGTCAAGTAAAGATTAAGAAGGACTAGAAGAAGGATATCTCTGAAACCACCACCCAGCAGCCTATAAATGGTGCGGGCAAGCCGACCTTGACATGTCCTCCATTGTCCTCTCAATGACTCACCCCCTCACCAGACACTCCATGTATATGCCATACAGATATATATATATATATACAGTTACACCTATACATTGACTCCTCACCTGGGCCTCATCTCACCGACACCTTCGGCTTCTCTTCGTGCTTCGTAAGGCACCGTGCCACCCGAGGCTCTGTTCGCTTCTCTTCCTCCGTCTTCCGGCGGCTCTTCACGTGAATGTGTTGCGCTAGGTTGAGGACTAAGTGAAGATCGTCGATGGCCTCACCCGTGAGGGCGGCGCAATCGTCGGGAAGAAAGACGAAGGAGACGATGAAAGAGGAAGGACCTGATGGATTGAAAGGGGGTTCTTTTGGAGAAATTCCCGAATCCAAAGTGTCCAACCCAAAGCATTCATGGGACTGGAAGTGCCGCTTACATTGGGGTCATCGATGATGGAGGTATGTAACTATTACTTTCATGGACGGTCTGGGCTATGTCTATGTGAGTGGAAACGCTACACCAAAACCAATGGATTCATAACATGACTTACAGTAGACTTAGTGCAGCACAGTGCAACCCTCTGTTGTGAATCAGTTTGCAAAGAAACGGTGGATGAGCATTGACACTTCCCCCCAAAAATAGCACTATAGATCTAGTCAGAGGCCAAGCCTAGCTTCGACACTTGAGCATCTACCGTGTTTACTTCAACCCACCAGGCCGTAGCTTCGCAGGAAACGGACCCAGACCCGCTTTATTTAACTATTTCGCCAACACTCCATGTATGGCAGACTTCGTATACATTGGGGTGGTTGATCTGGACTCAATGTAAGCATACCAGTTCCATGTGTCGTGTCTGGCTTTGGAAAGGCCGGGGGTGTTCTCCTCGGCCACGCTGTCGCCACGTGACGTTCCGCTGACCGGTCCAACGCCTGCTCATCGATGACGCCCATGGAGTTGTAGATGAAGTACGAGGACAAGAGAAGGCCTAGTTTTGCTTCAGTTCCCCCCGGTGACGAACAGCGTCGGAGGAAGGATTACGAACAGCGAGGCTTCCGTGACGAATGTCTGGCATGTCTGGCATGTCTGCACGAACGAAGGCCTTCTCTCACCAATCGCCGCCGCAAAAGCCCGTCGAAGTCACATGCATGGCAATGGCATAGGTCCACAGGCCAGTCCCATCATCCATGCTCTGGGAGTGTATTGATTGAATTATGCTTAAACTTTCAGTTGATTAAGTTCTTGACATCCACTGCTTGCCTCTGCCGGGCCTAGTGCCGGGCCCCTAGTATTCCCTGGTCCGCTGTCCATCCAAGAGGCACAGCGAGAAGATTTGCATGTCACAGCTGCTGCTCCTCTGAGTCGATCCTAAGCCTTCCGTATCCTCGGATGTGCAAGCCCAATGGCTGAGGAGAGTTGGCCCGGAAAAAGGGTCTCGAACAAAGGGCCCATGTGCTGCATGCATGTCAGTTGTCACAGCTTTGAGAAGACCAGAGAACCTGATGGAACCTGAAAAATGCAGGGAACGTCCGGGGATGCCGCTTAAAATGTGTCAAGTTGGCGAGTTGCGGGGTACCAAGTTCACCCCTACAGGTTGGCTTTGGGAAAAACATGTTTCAAAAACAGGGGAAGTGGCCATGAACAGAACTGAAGTCTTGTGAATGTTCCAGCTTTTTGTTCCATACACGCTCGAAAGTATTTCCAAGAAATTGCTTCACAATGTGTCAGAGTGAACCCTGTGCAATTAAACCTCTGGGCCTCTGGACCAACGACAACGAGTGCATTCTTCCAATCTGAAATGTTGGACCAGCACCACTCCTCGTCAGTGATGGATATAGTGAGGACCCCACGAGTCCCGCTACGACTTGGGAAAACAGAACCGCCCCCTGGGAGAAAAAACATTAAAACACAAAAAAAACCTGCCAGGACCTTCCAAGGGGCGCCCAATGGAAGCCCCAGCCCACCACTATAAGGGACCTCCATTGGACGCCCCGAAAGAAGGTCCAGGTGCATTCGTCCAAGACGCGATGAGGATGCAGTGATAGTCTGGAGCCAGCTGTACAGGTTGACCCCAGATCCACAAGCCCTTGGTGCAGGGATTCCTCAGCGATCAGAATTCCACAACACCCGGCGGGCTGGCTGAAATCACAGAATTCGAATGGGGCGGGAGCGAAAAAAGCAGGCACTCCGTATATGGTGTGTGTGTGCCTACATTGAGCCGTGAAACCACCCTAATGCAGCTAATGCAGCTGTAAATCTGCCCCCACATGGAGGATACATCCAGCAGTCACAATACAGGGTGCGATCCATGGAGGTTAGGGGTGCCCAGAACATCCACTCACTTGGGGACTAAACACTACCCCTTTGTGGCTCCTGGATGGAGTTTGTTTTTCCTGCACAGATCCTCCTCCGAGTCCCAGACTCCGACCCGTCGGCAGCGTGCTTGGGCTCGGCCCGTCGACGTTTGGCGCGTCGACGGTACTTGGCGCGTCCGGGTGGCACGGTCGGTCCAATCTCGAAGCCATCTTGTAGGCCTTGTTTGGGGCTGAGTGGAAGAGATGTTTGGAAGGATTGAAAGCATCGATGGCGGTCTTGGGTCCTCTATCAGCACTTGTCGTGGCTGGCTGCTGGATTGTAGCTTAGAGAAATCAAAGGTTTTCAAGGCCAGATTAAATTCATGCGGTCTATTAAATGCCTATACTAGAACCCACGCGCTCGGGGTATTAGACATGGACACCCCGAATCACCTCTAAAAATGGGGCTATTTCCCCCCGGGGTTTCCCGGTAGACCTCAAACCCTAGAACCCAGACACTCCATGGGACGGCCACATATGCCTACATTGACCCGCCCTGGCACCACCGCCGTTTCTCGGCAGTCCTGCCAGGCAGTCCCAGACAGGTCGTGTCTGGGGAAGGTCGATCAAATTCATGCAAGCCTGGATCCCCACTTTTTCGTGTTGCACCGGACGGATCGGTCCCCTGTGGACGAAGAGAGTCGTCGACTTCTTCCATCATCGGACGGGCGCCCAGCTTTTTTCGTGAAATCAACAGACCATCCCCCAAGTGACCCAACGTTCAGATTGACATGGGGCGGAAGTGGGTCAAGACAGAGGTGACCCTGCTCTTTTTCCCACCCCAAAATGACCAGAATCAACTACCTGGCAAGTCCGCCCGGGTGAAAGGGGTCTGGGTGCAGCTCTGGGTGACGTGCTCCAACTGCGCTTCTTCCACACAAACACCGCCCATGGTCGCCCTCGCCCTTGGGCCCCCTGCCTAAAAGTCGATTCAGCAAGTAGGACTTCCCAGTGCCTCAGTGTCTTTCGTCAAAATTTTCAGCGAAACATTGGAATACATCTCGACACGGATGGTGAAATCACCAAAAATATCAGATCAAGCAAACCAAGCAGGCATTTGGGAGAACCTTGAGCACTCTGGGTTCCCTGACAGATTCTTGAGTTGATGTGGGTGTGGGTGGACAGCTTGCCAAAACAGAGTGATGCACGTGGTGATAGTCCTGGAGGTGCTTTGTGCACTGGTTTTGTGGCATCTGCGCCTCTCCGGGGGGGGGATTCCAACGGGTTTTCGTGTGCCCGACACCATCAGCAGCATCGCCACGCTACCTCTCGTGGTGCGGTGGGGCCGCGTTAGCCAAGGAGCGGTACAAGCCAGCAATGCCCACCACCGCGAGACGCCCAGGGATCTGGTTGAGGATGGCCACGGCATTGTCCTGCAAGTGGCACCTGAGGAGTCGAACCCTCACCCGGTTCTTCGGCGACGTCGTCGAACCGAAGTGAAGCGGATCTTAGACTCCTCGAGTCGGACCTCGAGTCGGTTGTCATGAGCCCTAAGGGTCCAGGGACGATCCGTTCCTGAGGATGTCCTGCCAGACCCCCCAAGAACGACCATTCTCAGGAAGTACGAACTCACCTCCAACAAGGCCATCCGAAAAGGAGGTACCTGGACCCTATGGGGAGGTACACGCCCGAGGTCGTCCCTGTGAGGGTCAGAGATCCCATTGGCACGTCAGGTACGTCAGTCGATGTCAGTCGGGTCCAGTGGCACGATGGTGGGTGATTTTTGTTGACCCGTGGGCGGTTTCTCTGTTGATTAACTGGTTGACTCTTTTCCCCTTTTTGGGCGTTGGTCTGTTGAGAAAACTGCAGGTATGAGAGTTATGAGGGCTTGAAAAAGTGGACCGCCATGGACCACCATCAGCTGGTGGGAGTCCACCTGCTCTCTTTGTTCAGCTCTTCCATGCGATTGACCGGGGTGAAGAGCAGTCCAAATCGAACCCAAGGCACGTCCCATCGTCATCGATTTGGATCAGTTGCAAGGGCCCACTGTAATAGCTGGCCTCCACCATTCCAAGCACCCATGCTGCCGTTGGCAGGCTTGGCTTCGCCGCGCTGCTGCCGTGGGTTTTGGCTTCGCCGCAGGTGTGGATGCTAGGCGAGGAAAATGCTAGTGGTGTGGAGCATTCACGGCTTGGGGGAAAGGCAGTCAGGGAAAGGCAGGGTCTGGGTCGTTTTGAGGTGCTCTCAAACATGGCAGAAGCTCAAACATGAGGTAAAACCCTCGTTTTGCGGGTCTCTTTCGACCTTGAGGTGCTGGGCTCTGGGTCCCACCTTGCGTCCTTGAGGAAACACGCTCAGCCCCCGGATCTCTGGTCAGCTTTGGCTTCCGGAACGGGTTCCACCGAACTCATGGTACCGGGCTGTGACCGAACGCTTTCAGAGCCCACTGGGGGCCTTCGGATCGGTTGCGGGGTTCCGTGCGGGAACCAAGGCTCGACATCACTTCTTGGAGGGACTTGATGCGCTTGATGACTGACCCTTGGAATCCAAGTCGAGTGGTACTTTGAATCGTCTGTGATTCTGAGTCAGCTGCATGTCGTCGTTCTCTTGCTTTGCTGATCCATGATGATTCCTTTATGCTGGCGATGGATCGATCGTGGCGCGCGCCAGGGGCAAGTCAGGCCAGCGGAGCATCATGACACCGGGAGGCACCCAGACCAGTCTGTGGAGCACCAGGTGAATGAACAGAAAATGACTGGTCCGGCAGGTCTATACCAGGACACCCTAATAGGTGTCTATTGATAGCCCCGAAAAGAGGTTAAGGGGTGTCCATTAACCACCCCTTGTGGGTCCTAGTATAATATTAGTCAAGAGTCTACCTTGCCCATTTTGAAAGGGGCTCCAGGGTAAAAGGACTCACAGCCGAGGAAGTTCATGAAAAAAAGAACCTCAAGTGAAGCTGGGGTCGTTGGGGCCATGATGATTTTGGATGCGGGATTCCTCAGGATTTTCGTCCCGTCTCCAGGATTTTTTTGAACACGGAAATGAGGGAACTGCTTTTTTGCCACCAAGCTGGGCCTCCTCGCAGAAAAGTAATGAGGCTATTGATGCTTGTTCATCAACTATTACTCCCAAATAATCCATGTCTGGAATGTTTGCCAACAGGTGGCTTTAAGATGTTTTGAGGATCAATATTCCATGCCATGGACTGTTGGACCTGCCGATTAGCAGGTATATGTGCGATGCAAATGATGTCAGAGTCTGAGCTTTTGCCACAGCCGTCTGATCCAAGAAAAGCCTTCTACTACACATTGTCTGTGGCTCTACCTCCCAAACCTCGAACGCCTTCCCAGTTTGAACACCCAAACAGTACCCAACACCCCCCACACACGCACCCACGATCAGGAAAAGAGGAAGACAGTCCGTCCGATCCAAACTCGCTCCGCGATGCGCCTTTTCAGTTCTAGCTCGATCGCTACTCAAATGCCTACATGACATACCCCTGATCCCGTCTGATCCTGTCTGGTCGCCAGGTCTCTTCCGTCGTTCTTCCGCGCCGGTCGGTCAGGACGACGAGTCGGCGGGCCGTACAGGCATGGAGGGTGCCTGGGGGTGCCTGGCCTGAGAGTAGGTGTGAGAGTATGTGTGAGATTGTGTGAGTATACCTTTCGAGAATCTAGAGCCTGAGTGACCTCAATGGAAAAAGCGCCACCTCTCTAAGATATACAGATAATACGCGTGAAAGAAATAATTTATGGCTACGTGAATGGCATGGCTGCAAAAGGATAACTCTTTCACGAATACTAAATTAGGTGGTGAACTCCAATTTCATAATTTCCCACAAATATACATCCATGATTACTTCAGGGAGTGTACAGAAGCCCCCCACATCACCTCCAATTCCCCTATCAGCAAGACATGGCATGGCACACACGCCGCTGTAAAGCCTTCCAAGACCATGAGAAGAGTTCGGTTGACCTGGCTTTGTAATCTAGATAGGGTCCTTATAGTTAAAAACAGTAAAACGATGAATGTTCTGCAAAGTGGCATCAAAGGCGGTTGGAATCCTAGGGTGTAGCCTGTCTTCTTCTTCTTCCCCTTCTTCTTCAGTCCCAGCCCGGCCCATCAATCTCCCTCAGCCATCGATGCTTTCGTTCGAATGACGAAAGCCCAAGCTCGCTTCGAGGGGCACCAAACGATGCTGGAGCCGGATGACGAGCATAGGTGATATGCCCTGAAAACGATGCATGAAAGGTGTTTGTTCGTCTATGCGGCTAGTTGGAAAGTCCTACAAACCGCGTTGCACAGCTCTTTCAGCTCATCTTTGAAGAGGGAAAACGGTCTTCCATCTTCCTGTTTTCAGGTTCTTGCTAGTTGTTTGGGTTTGTCCTTCTGTTGTGACCCCCAGAATTCACGAATTCCTTCGCGGAAGCGGTGAATCTTTTTTCACGTTGATTTCGCGCACATGGGAGGGTGCTATTTGTCTTTTTGATAATTCCAGAGCATCCAGTTACCACTATAGCTGGTAACCAGTGGTTCCAAAGACTAAAACCATAGACCAAACGAATCCCTGGTTCCTTATATAGTGGCTGCTTGGGATCCATTGCGAGTCATATTGTTTTCACATGTCTTCACAGATTAGATCAGATTAGATCATTATTCAACCTGGTTGTCTTCCCACTCAGCTGAATCAAACCCTTCAACCCTTCGCCGCGACTGCCACCATTGATCACTTCACCTTCGACATGCAAAATTGATCACTTCACCTTCGACATGCCACCATCCTCGGTCCCTTGCCATCACTTCACCTTCGCCGCTCGCTCGATCGCGGTCCTGCTCCAGCAGTTTAAAATTAACGACCTGTTCCCAACATCGGACGCCTTGAGCTAACATCCAATGCTCGCACAGGAACATGGAAGGCACGGACAAAGAACCTGGTCTTGGAAG